CGCGTGCCAAAAAAAAAAAAAAAAAAAAAAAAAACCCAACCCCCCCCCCCCCCCAAAAAAAAAAAAAGATATTCTGTTCTTAAAGTTTAGAATATTGAATGAATGTGTTGATAGGTCTGTTGGATCTGCTATAGCTATTGGTAACTTGCTGTCTGCTGGCTTCTTCTCTGGGCGAATGTTCCTGTAGACCAGGTTTCATTATTGGTGTTTTGTTTTCTTTCCAGAATCTTTGCACATAACTTTGATACATTTAATTGCAAATGTTTTCTTCTGAAAACTTAACAAGTTGGTGATTAATTTTTGTGGCAGAGGCTTTTTATATTTTTTTAAATATCAAACTACAGCTTGTGTTTTGTCTTAAGGAAGAGCACACCTGATCTTGTTCTGTCTATGTCTGTCTCTTGTCCGTACAGTCACTTTGACTGTGTTGCTGTGGATAACTAGACAAAATCATTGTAGTCAAAAGCCAAGTGAGACATATCCAGACTGGATATGCCTCATTTGGTTTCACTGTCAGATCTATGCAGAGATGAAAGGATAAGTAAAATTGTGTCAGTGTCTGACCTCTCAGATGTAATTCCCTATGTCCTGGAAAAGCTTAACAAATCTTGGGGAACTGTGAAATAGTCACAGGTGAGCTCCTTTTTTTTTTAAATGAAAAGTCCTTATATGAGAGGTTTGAATTTGGCGCGGTAATTTGGTTTGTTTTTGTCACTTACATTTTGTACCTGCATCTGTTGAAATATGGGCTTGGAATATGGATCATCTGTGCATTTGTTCTTTTTTCTCTTTCCCCAATCTTTTCTATTTTATAACTCCAGCTACTGGGATACTTTCCATTTGGACACAAAGTCTTCTCTTCATTTTCTTATCCGTAGTAATCAATTTGGTTCATTCTAGGTGTCCCTTGAACTTAAAATTAGAGAGAGGACCTGTTAGAACTGAAGTGTCAGGCTGATAGATTGTACAACACATGTGCCGAGGGTGAGCCTGCCTGCCTTTTGGGCCATGTTTGGCTGGTCCTTACAGGTTTTACACTTTTGACTCTACAGGGTTTCATTTGATCAGTTGATTACATGTTAACCTGTGGGTTTATCTTTTAGATGTGATTTTTTCCTTGGGTGGCTGCATCTTTTTCAAACACTAAAGGAACACATTTCTCTGAGAGTGCTACTTCAGTATTCAGGCTGCTAGACAGCAGCAAAGGGGCCTGTCAAATGAAAATGTCCTTTTGTTCGGGAGAAAGCATGTGCAGTTTGGAAGTTTTCTTTTGACCGTGATCACAAAGCTTTGCCCCAAAAGGTGGTGTTTTGGCAATAGAACTTAGTTATTTCCAATACTTCAGCTTATTGGAACACAACCTAGAGGCCCCAGAGTGACATTGATAATTCCACTGAGTGAATCACTAGTTTATTGTTTCAGTCTGAATGGAAGGTCACTTGGTCTATAACCTTTTCTTTTTTCCTTAAATTTAGATAAAGTTTCATACTGCAGTATGAGGAAAAATAATCTCCACTGGGCTTGTGTATCATTCTTATCTTAACATACTAATCAAAAGTGAGGGGAAAAAAAGCCCTCATGTTTAAACATGACTTTTGGATCAATTTTTTAAAAATCTGATTTTCCTTTTCACTATATCTTATTTGTATTTAAATTGTTTAGAAATAGCTCACTAATGGGACCAGCAGTTAGCATAATGGCTATGTCACTGGACTCCCACGTAGTCGACTGCAGTTCGCGTCCCGGACCCGGTGGCTTAAAGCTCACGCCGGGTGCGTGTGCATGCGTGCCCAAGATCCCGAGAGGAGAATAGAGGAGAAGGGATTGCGTTGTGGCCATCCCCCTGGGGGATGATTTCTCACTTTCTGTCTCTCTGTGTCTCTCTCTGTCTGTCTGGTGAGTGCATGTGCCCTATGGCAAAAAAAAAACTCTCCAAAAAAAAAAAAAAGAGAAAGAAATAGCTCGCTAAGTTATTGTTGCTTTTTTTATGAATGCTATGTGGTTTATATATATTCGTGGCTCAGGGGAAACAAATTCACTAAATGGCTTTCCTTTCTAACTAAACATATTTTGTTTTCATTGCAGAAAGTGATGATCCTCATAATTTATATTTTCTACATCCTGAAACCTGCAACTTTTCTTTTGTCTAACCATAGGACACAAAGAACCAGTTGTACCAGTTTGAATCTGACTTTTAAACATGCCCACAGAAACTGTTCATTAAGATTTATTTAGATATCAGGGGAGTGATTCACAGTTTACAAAATCCACATCCATGCATTTCTTTTTCTCTGTAGGTATGTCTGACTTGCTGCTCCAGGGATGTCATAATTAAAGTTGACCAGATCTGTCACAAAAACAGCATCAAGTTCTTTACAGGAGATGTTTTTGGCTACCATGGATACACATTTTCCAATCTTGGAGAGCATGAGTTTGTAGAGTAAGTGTTGGGAGAGGAGTGGGGACTGTAACATTTTCAAAATTTAGTTTTACTGGGGCCAGCAGGTGGCATAGTGGTTAAGGTGCTAAACTTCTGCATGGCTGACTACAGTTTGAGTCCCAGATCCAGAGTCTTGAAACTCAAGGTGGGCGTCTGTGTGTGTATGCTCAAAATCCCAGGAGGAGAGTGGGGGAGAGGGGATTATGGTGTGGACATTCTGCTTGGGGGGGTGATTTCTCACTCTCTCTCCATCTCTCTTCTGCCAGCTCACATGCCTTATAGCAAAAATCTCTCAAAAAATGAGTACCAAATACTTGGGTAACTCTCAAGGCACATTTAGCTGAAGTCTACCTTGGAAAGGCTCTAAGGTCTAGAGATTGCTCTGGTGGAACAGAGCTTATCCTCTCATTTTGAACATAGAGACTATAGACTTGGTAATTCTCACATGATGGGACCTGCAGTGTTTTTAACTTGTAGCTTCTAGTTGAAAGATGGTAGATGATTATAAAGTTATGAGTTGGTTCTTTGGCTGTAATTGCTGACTCTTCTTCACCCTAACCTTCCTTTCAAGAGTTGAAGAGAGGTCTTGTGTGGTAGATTGGAGCTTCCAACCAAGAGAGTGGAAATGCACTTTAAAAAAAAAAAAAAGAGAGAGAGAAAGAGAGAGAAATAGATAGATACAGGGGTCAGAGGGAGTCTGGTATTTTTACATGGTCTTGCCAGGTTTCAATCCTTCAGCCTCCCAGTTAGGATTACAGGTTTATGAAGCCATGCCAGCCTATTTAGACAGGTTCAGGACCTGAACTGTTGCCTCCTATGCAGCCCCAGCCTCAGGCAGCGGGATTTTATCACACTGTTGCTGTGCCCAAAACTGCTCTGTTCAGCATCTTAGGCAAGTCTGCAGATTTTTTGCCAGTAAAGTGAAGATGGAAAAGGACAAATGTGTTCCAGAGATCTCCTAATCGCTAGTATTAAAATATATATTATATATGTAATATATAATACATATCATGTAGTAATCATAATTATATATATTATATGTATATTTTTAAAACTACCACTTAATTTATCATTATTTTTTTAATTTGTTACCAGGTCCGGGACTCAAACTGCAGTTGGCCATGTGGGAGTCCAGTACCCCAACCACCACAACACCCGCTGGTCCCTTAAAAATATTTTTTAGGGGCCAGTGAGTGGCATGGTGGTTAAAGCACTGGACTTCCACATGGCTGACCACCATTCAAGTCCTGGACATAGCAGCTGGAAACTCATGCTGGATGTGTTTGTGTATGCCCAAAATCCAGAGAGAGTAAAGGATTTTGGTGTGGCCATTCCCCCTGGGAGGAGATTTGTTACTTTGTCTCTCTTTTTATCTCTGGCAAATGTACATGCCCTATAGGAAAAAAAAAATCAAAAATAATTTTTAAAAAAGAATATTTATTTAATTTTATTTATTTATTCATTTATTTTAATTTGACCAAAGAGAGACACAGAGAGAGAGAGATGGAAAGTGAGGAAGCAACCTACCAGGTCCAGGACTCAAACCATGGCTAACCATGTAAGAGTGTTCAGTGCCTTAACCACCATACTACCTGCAGGCCTCCCCCCACATTTTTTTGAATAATTATTTATGGGACCAGTAGATGGCTTAATGGTTATGTCACTGGACATAGTCAATTACAGTTCAAGTCCCAGATCTATCGATTTAAAACTCAGGCCAGGCATGTGTGCGTATATATCCAAAATCCCAAGAGGAGAATGGAGAAGGGATTGCTGAGTGGCTGTCTCCCCAGGGGTTGTTTTCTCACTTTCTGTCTCTCTGGTGAGTGCATGCACCATATAGCAAAAATACAAAATAAAGGGCCAGCAGTGGTATGGTTAGCGGTGTTGGACTCCCACATGGCTGACCATGGTTTGAGTCCCGGACCTGGTGGCTTGCTTTTTCACTTTCCATTTTTCTTTCTCTCTCTCTCTCTCTCTGTCTCTGTCTCTGCCCCTCTCTGATAAAATTAAAATAAATAAAATAAAAAGTTAAATTAAAAAATTTTTAGAAAGATAGTTAAAAAATAAAGAACTATGTAATTTTATTTAATAGTATTATTTTTAAATTTACTATAGCACATGTGCATTCACTAAAGGGAGACAGAGACAGAGAGAGAGAGAGACAGAGAGAGAGAAAGAGAGAAACCAAGCCATCAGATCCGGGACTCAAACCATTGTCAGCCATGTGGGAATTCGGTGCCTTAACCACCACACGACCTGTTGACCTCAACTTGTAGTTTTTTTTTTTTATTTTTTTTTTAAGATTTATTAATTTAATTTTATGTATTCATTCTTTTATTTTATTGTAATTTGACCAGAACAAGACACAGAGAGAGAGAGAGAAAGTGAGAAAGCAAGTTGCCAGGTCTGGGATTCAAACCATGGACATGTGGGAGTCCAGTGCCTTTAACCACCACACCACCTGCTAGCCCCCTCCTAACTTGTAGCATTTTACTGCCTTAGAAAAATCTATTATAGTTCTTTTGGCATGTTATAAATAAAGACGGCCAGGTTTTTTTTTGTTGTTGTTCTTTTGTTTTTGAAAGATTTTTTTTTTTTTTTTTTTGGGGGGATAGGGCACATGCGTTCACCAGAAAGACAGAGAGAGACGGAGAGACAGAAAGCAAGAAATCACTCCCCAGGGGGGATGGCCACACTTCAATCCCTTCTTCTCCATTCTCCTCTCGGGATCTTGGGCACACACGCACTCTCACACAAGCGCGCCTGGTGTGAGTTTAAGCCATGGGGTCCGGGACTCAAACCGCGGTCGACTACTTGGTAGTCCAACAACAGCCATTATACCAACTGCTAGTCCCAGGCCAGGTTATTTTAACATGTACTGCTCACAGAATGGGGAAGAATTCAGTTAAGCTGTGTACTTTATGTTTCAAGTAGAATAAGTTTATAGGGTAACTACTTTTGTTTATTGACAGCTTCTAGGCGGTAGGCAGTCTGAGAAATTTATGTTTTTTCTCTTCTTACAGTAATGACCAGGGATTGGCATTCCCACCCAGTGGGTAATAGACTCATCAAGGTGTCAGTAGAAAAGTGGAATTTGAACCCAGATCTTTCTGACTCCAGAGCTTTTGTTCTTAACCACAATCCTATTTTGTGAGCAAGTGACTTTTTTTTATTCTACTGGCATGATTCCTAGGATAGAATTTAATTCCCTCCACTTGTAATCCTCTAGGGAGAAAACCAAAGTTGCCAAAGTTAGCCAAGGAGTAGAAGATGGACCTGATACCAAGAGAGCCAAACTTGATTCATCAGAGACAACTATGGTCAAAAAGGTAGGTGTTATGGGTTGAGTTAGAGACCAGAAATCTTTCTGTCCTGTGGGGGTAATTACAATTGCAAATCAAAGAATGAAGCTTGGTAGAGCCGTTGAGGTAAGGGGTCTTGTTTGTTCTATCTAAAGGAAGCTCCCTGCTGCTTATGCCAGCCTGATGTTGTCCTGAGGGAATATGAACCAGTGATTCAATATGTAATATTTCAAGAGAATCAGTAACAGAGATTTTGTATGGTCTGTCCCTAGTTTTTTTTTTTTTTTTTTTGAGAGGTTTTTGCTATAGCGCCCGTGTGCTTACCAGAAAGACAGAGACAGAAAGCAGGAAATCAACCTGATGGCCATGCTGCAATTCCTTCTCCATTTTCCTCTTGGGATCTTGGGCATGCATGCATGCACACGTGCCCGTTGTGAGTTTAAGCCACCGGGTCCAGGACTCAAACCTCAGTCGACTATGGGAGTCCAGCAACATAGCCTGTATGCCAACTGCTGGTCCCCCTAACTTTTTTTTTTTTTTTTTTTGAGAGAGATTTTTGCTATAGGGCATGTGCACTCACTGGAGAGACAGAGACAGAAAGCAAGAACTCACCCCCAGGGGGAAGGCCATGCTGCAATACCTTCTCCTCCATTCTCCTCTCAGGATCTTGGGCACACATGCACATACATGTGCCTGGGCAGAGTTTTAAGCTGCCAGGTCTAAGACTAAAACGTGATCGACTCTGTGAGAGTCCAGCTGTGTAACCTTTATGCTGTCTACTGGTCCCTGTCCCAAACTTTAATACCAGCAGCCTATTCAAGTTGGTTTGAATGCTCTTCAGCTCAACACTGTGGAGGCCATATAGAACATGCTGCAGGACTTAATTTGATCTATGAGCCACCAGTTTTTTTTTTACTATAGGGCGCGTGCGCTTGCTAGACAGACAGAGACAGAGACAGAAAGCGAGAAATCACCCCCCAGGGGGGATGGTCACGCCGCAATCCCTTCTCCTCCATTCTCCTCTCGGGATCTTACGCACGCACGCACACGTGCCCGGCGTGAGTTTTAAGCCACCGGGTCTAGGACGCGAACCACGGTCGACTACGTGGGAGTCCAGCGACATAGCCATTACGCTAACTGCTGGTTCCCTGAGCCACCAGTTTTGACATGTGATGTATTTCAGAAAGATTGGTTTTGAGCAGAGGCTATTACTTACATACAACCCCCAGGTTGACAACTATTCAGTCAGGTAGTAAGTAGACGGGAGCAAGTTTAAACTTCAATTGCTTTTATTTTCTGTTGGTTCTTTTTTTTTTTTTTTAAATTTTTGCTATAGAGTGTAGGCACTTTCCTGTTCTTTTTTTTTTTTTCTTTCTTTCTTTTTTTTTTTTTTTTTTTTTAAAGAGGTTTTTGCAAAAGGGCACTTGGGCTTGCTAGAGAGACAGAGAGCCAGAAAACGAGAGGTCACCCCCGAGGGGGGATGGCCATGCTGCAATCCCTTTTCCTTCAGTGTCCTCTCAGGATTTTGGCCACGCATGCACATGTGCACAGTGTGAGTTTTAAGCCACCCATTCCAGGACTCGAACAGTGATCGAGTATATGGGAGTCCAACCATGTAACCATTATGCCATATGCTGGTTCCAGCACTCTTTTGATATAGGGAGAGAGGGAAATAAGACCTCACCCTCCACAATCTAGGGGATGATTGTGCTGCAGTCCCTTCTCCATTTTTCTCTTGGGATTCTAAGCACACGTGCACATGCACCTAGCATTTTTTTGAGGGGGGGAAGGAGAGGTTTTTGCTAAAGGACGCATGTGCTCTCCAGAAAGACAGAGACAGAAGCAAACATCACCGCCCAGAGGTGAGATCCCTTCTCCATTCTCCTCTCGGGATCGTGGGCACGCATACACGCTGGCATGAGGTTGACTATGTGGGAGTCTAGTGACATAACCATTACACCAACTGCTGATCCCAACACCTAGCATGTTTTTCAAGCCTCTGTCTAGTAATCAAACCACAAAGTCGGCCAGGTGGAATCCAGCACCTTAACCACCATGATACCTGGCTAGTCTGTTTTGGCTTCTTTTAAAAAAAATATTTGGAGAGACCGGCAGTTAGTGTAAAGGCTATGTCACTGGACTCCCACGTAGTCGACTGTGGTTCAAGTCCCGGACCCAGTGGCTTAAACTCACGCCAGGCGCGTGTGCGTGTGTGCCCAAGATCTCGACAGGACAATGGAGGAGAAGGGAGGATGGCGTGGCCATCGCCCCCTGGGGGGTGATTTCTCGCTTTCTATCTCTCTGTCTCTCTCTGTCTGTCTGGTGATTGCATTCACCCTATAGCAAAAACCTCTTCAAAAAAAAAAGATTTTGGAAAAAGGGGCTGGGAGGTAGCATGGTAGTTAAGGCACTGAACACTGCCACGTGGCCAACCATGGTTCAAGGCCTGGACTTGGTGGCTTGCTTTCTCACTTTCCTCTCTCTCTCTCTCTCTCTCTCTCTTTCTCTCTGTCTGTCTCTGTCTCTCTGGTCAAATTAAAATAAGTGAATGAATGAATGAATGGAATGGAATTAAATAACTCTTTTTAAAATAAAGTTTTGAGGGGCCGGCAGGTGGTGGTGGTGGTCGGAAGTGTTGTATTTCCACATGGCTGATCATGGTTCGAGTCCTGGACGTGGCAGCTTACTTCCTCACTTACCCTTTGTCTCTGTCTCTCTGGTCAAAATAAAAAGTTAATTAATTAATTAAATAATTTTTATTAAAAGATAGTTTTTTGGGGATCCAGCAGGCAGCCTATTGGTTAAGGCACTGGACTCCCAGACCTGGACCTAGCTGCTTGAAAATCATGCTGTGTGAGTGTGCATGCCCAAAATCCCAGGAGAAGAATGGAGGAGAAGGGATTGTGGAATGGCCATCTCCCGTAGGGGTTGATTTCTCACTTTTCCCCTCACTGTCTCTCTTTAACAAGGGCATGTACCCTATGGCAAAAACTTTAAAAATAAACAAAACAGGGACCTGGTGGCTTGCTTTCTCACTTTATTTCTCTCTCTCTCTCTCACTATCTCTCTGGTCAAATTAAATGAATAAATAAATAAAATTAAATAATTTTTAAACAAAACAAAATTTTTTGCATTTTTTTTTCCACCAAATAACTTTTTTTTTTTTGGAGAGATTTTCACTGTAGGGCGCATGCGCTTGCCAGACAGACAGACAGAGAGAGACATAGAGACAGAAAGCGAGAAATCACCCCCCAGGGGGGATGGTCACGCCGCAATCCCTTCTCCTCCATTCTCCTCTCTGGATCCTGGGCACGCACGCACACGCGCCCGGCGTGAGTTTTAAGCCACCGGGTCCAGGACACGAACCGCGGTCGACTATGTGGGAGTCCAGCGACATAGCCATTACACTAACTGCTGGTTCCCCCAAATAACTTTTTTTTGAGAGAGAGTTTTGCTTTCAGGGTGCATACGCTCACAAGAGTAAAAGAGAGAGTGAGCAATTATGCCCCAGGGGTATGACCACACTGCAGTCCATTTTCCTCCTTTGGGTATGCATGCACTTGTACCCTGGGTGATTTTTTTCTTTTTGGAGAGGTTTTTGCTATAGGGAACGTGCACTCGCCAGACAGGCAGAGAGAGACAGAGAGACAGAAAGCAAGAAATCACACCCCAGGAGGGATGGCCACACTGCAATCCTTTCTCCTCCATTCTCCTCTCGGGATCTTGGGCACACACACACACGCGCCCGGCGTGAGTTTAAGCCACCTGGTCCGGGACGCGAACCGTGGTCGACTACGTGGGAGTCCAGCAACGTAGCCATTACGCCAACTGCCGGTCCCAAACCTGGGTGACTTATAAGCTGTGGAATCTGGGACTGGAACTGCGGTCAAATACATGGGAGTCCAGCGATGTAAATGCTATGCTATCTGCTGATCCCGCACCAAAAAACTTTTGATAAAAGCCTTGAATGTTGGAGCCAGCAGGTGACATGTTGGTTAAGGCGCTGAATTGCCACATGGCTGACCGCAGTTGGATTTTTATACCTGGCAGTTTGCTTTCTCACTTACCTTTTCGCTCTTACTTGTGCTTGTTGCATGCACATTCTTTCTCTCTCTTTCTTATGGGTGACATGGCTATAGCAAAATGTTATTTTATTTTATTTTTTAGATTTCTTTTTATTTAATTTTATTTATTTATTTACTTAGTTTAATTTTACCAAAGAGGAGCAGGGCAAGAGAGAGAGAAAGTGAGAAAGCAAGCTGCCAGATCTGGAACTTGAACTGTGGTCAGCCATGTGGGAGTCCAGCGCCCTTAACCATCATGCCACCTGCTGACCTGCAAAATGTTATTTTAAACAATTATTTATATAATTTTATTTATTAGCATCATTATTTTTAAATTTGACCAGAGAGAGACAGAAAGAGAAAGAGGGAAAGTGGGAAAGGAAATCATCAGGTTTGGGACTCAAACTGTGGTCGGCCATACTGGAATCCAGTGCCTCCACCACCACACAACCTGCCGGCTGCATTTTTTTTAAAGATAGTTTTGCTATAGATCATATGTGCTCACCATAGAAAGAGAGACAGAGTTACAGAAAGCAAGAAATCTCTCCCTAGGGATTGGCATGCCATAATTCCTTTTCCTCCAGTCTCCTCTCAGGCTTTTGGGCATGCATACATATGTGCCTGCGTGAGTTTCAAGTTGCTGGGTCCGGGACTCAAACCGCGGTTGACTATGTGGAATTCCTGTGACGTAATCATCACACCAGCCAGTGGTCCAATGTAGTACATTTTTTTATAGAGATTTTTTCCTATAGGGCGTTCCCCCCCCTTTTTTTGGGAGAGGTTTTTGGTACAGGGCACGTGCGCTTGCCAGAAAGACAGAGAGAGACAGAAAGCAAGAAATCACCCCCCAGTGGTGATGGCCATGCTGCAATCCCTTCTCCATTCTTTCAGGATCTTGGGCACGCATGCCCACATGCCTGGCGTGAGTTAAAGCCACCGGGTTTGGGACTTGAACCACACTCG